CTTGCTTCATTTTGTAGTGCGTTTGCTCAGCACTCATAGAAAAGTAGCCGTTGGAGTGCACGTTCTGTTCACGTTACGTTAAGGCGTACACATACAACTTCGCTAACGTAAAAGGAGTACAGCAATATATCGTGTGCTGTGATACAATATATCGCTGTACTCCTTTTACGTTAACGCAGTTGTATGTTGGATTCGCCAATTGTTGTTAATATCGATGTACGATGAATCTGGGTGGTATTTCATCACGGCCAAAACACGGCGGTTCCGAGAAATGCTCAGCTTGAACGGGACCATGCCTTCATTTGTGAAAAGCAGTGTACCATCACGTAAGGGAACCATTGAAACCGAATGGACACTGTCTGGCGAAAATGCGGTTCGACGCAAATCATTTTTCGTCTGTGTTGGAAAGTGCTGTCCACTGACAATGTATTCATTGTACATGGCTACGTACAGCTTCGACATCTAAGGAAAATCAACAGTTGTCTCAAATAAATAATTCTAATAATGGCTCAAAAACTATAATGAATATATCTACCTTTCGAAATTGTGGCTCGACCGAAATGAATTTAATGCGAATGCAACAAATACGTACGAATGGTGTGACTCTGTATAAAAAATGTATGTACACTAAGAAATGTGATTATGAAAATGTTTTACTGAAATACTAGCGGTCTGTCAAACGACTAAAGCTGTCATATGTTGGGACAATTTGGATGTAGTTTTCCTAACATATTTCGATTTTTTTCAGAAAAAGTGTTTTTAACAAAATTCGATTTTGAAATTTTGAGGTTTTGGAATTGAATTTTGTTCAGTTTTTCATAAAGAATTTTATGGTGGTTTCAGTTTTCATTTATGATGAGTCTTTTTGAAAAATTTACCAGGTTAATAACGAAAATATGTTATTAATATGTTAATAAGATCGGTATCTTATTAACTAGCATTTTTGGGTTAATTTTTCAAAATGCTCAATCGAAGCTTCGAACTGAAACCACCACAAAATTTTTCGTGAGAAACTAAACAAAATCCGAATTTAAAACCCCAGAATTTCAAAATAAAATTTTGTTGAAAAACACTTTTTCGGAAAAAAATCGAAATATGTAAGGAAAACTATAAATTTGGATGTGTGTATGAACGAGACCTTACATGCACTGAAAACAAATCAGCTGGTACATAACCACATTTCGTTGTATTTACCATTGCTGCTTGCTATTGACAAACACACCAGCAGAACAATCTACATAATTTTCCAGAAAAATGGCAAAAATTTACGATGATTCAAAAAGTAAGACTTTTCTTTTTGTGTATATTTCGTTACATTGATAAAATTTCGAAATTCATTATGGCTTAACATTGATTTTAGTCAAAGTTTACTTCACGTATGCTGAAAAAAATGGGACACCAATTGGATTTGAGAGTAAAATAAAAGTCACTGTGACCAACGTTTATCAGTTGCCTGTCGTAAGGCTCAAACGCCTATCGGAATTGGAAATTGCGAAACACACAGAAGATAAATCACAACACACAAAACAGACCACAGCAGCTGATCAGATCGCAGAACCGAAAAATGTGAAAATGGACGTGGCCCGTACGTACACAACTCGAGCCAAGAAACAAAACAAGACTGATGAAATATCAGCGCTAGAACTCGAACGAAAGAGCAACATCGATTCTATTAAATTGACGAACGCGAAAAAGCAAAAAATTTCGAAAGACGGTGCAATGACGCAATTGAGTGATATGCACAAGGATAGCGCTATCTACAATCGTTAGAAGAAAGTTATGGTGCTAAGCGTCAACCTTCGAAGCATAGGAAAACGTTAACAAGTTTACAGAGTCCGTTCATAGAGTTTATGTTCAAAATTTCGGCTTAATCTCGTTGTCAGTTATACTCATTGAAATTACATAAACAATCATTTTAATTGAGCAAAGAAAATAAATTATGTTCAGTTTCAAACTGTGAAAAAGAGGAAACGCAATTAAAAAATCATGTGGGATCTAAAAAGTTAATTTGATACCCCCGTTTCTGGTAAACAAATAAACAATGGGGCTCAGTGGAATTGATTTAAGTGTAGCCAACGCGGAACGAAGCTCATTCTTCGATAAAAGTTCGATTCCATAAAAGGAACTTATCCGATTGAGAATGTTTGTGTGTGTTCTTCACTTCAGTATGAACAATGTCTTGAAGAAAGTATGAAAAAAACTCGTTCGAATTGTGATTGTATCGAGCACACACATCCAAATATAATTTTCTCACACCTTTCAAATACGGACAGCCGTTTTGCCCATAATCGAACTGTAGTTGTACTTATTGCCCATATATATAACACTCAATAGTATGTTAGTCATTTTTGACCAATTGAATTCACATTCCTAATCTCATGACAACAGCGAAATGTGTTCACTCGATTCCATTTTTTCTCACTGGTTCGATCGAACCATCTGAAATCATATAACCGCATCTGAAGCGAAATGCAAAAACTTGGAAATGACCTTAATTACAAGGCAACAGAGAGGAGTAGAGATATAGAGCATGGTTTTATTTGTTTCTCTGTATTTGGTGAACCAATTCCTTTTCGTTAAATCTAAAAACTTGTCAATTTTTTCTTAACAAAATCGTTATTAAATTGACAAAATCGTCTGAATACGAGTTTTTTTCAGCAAAACAGACAAAAACGTCTATTAACAAAACGTTTATTTAAAATTATCATCTAAACACAAAATTTCCAATCGAATGAAAAAGGGGGATTAAACGAAACAAAATATACTAGGATAAAAAAAATCTACACACACTTACCAAGTGTGGGACTTACCTTACTTTTCCACCGATCATTTTAATATATTTTTTCATTCTTTTTGATATTTTGCACGCAAAAGTTTACCTTCAAATCTCACTATTAGAAGACTCCGCTTTCGGTCTATTTTGATAAACAAAGAATCTGTTAGCCGGCGTGATTTACCTTTAACTTTAACCTTTCAGTGTTTTTCGTTATCGTAGTTATTAGTATGATCCCCGTGCCTCAAAAATGAGACACATTATGGATGAAAGAAAACAAGTGCCATGGAAAAACATGGCAATGAATATGAGTTTGGCCTGATATACAAATCAGAGAAAACATTTTTGGTTCAGTTGCCACTCTAAATGGGATTCGGACAAACATGTTGCAAATCTATAGTGGTATCATGTCACAACCCATATGAACCATTTGCGGAGAAATCCAGTCCACAGCGGAAATGTGCGGAGTTCGGCGGAGAAGCCATACGTTATGTTTGCTTAGTGCATTCATGGCTAATTGATAAGATGTGTATTGAACAATAGAAATGTATGTAAATACAGCAAAGTTGCAATGCTGTTTCGCTCACACTTATAGCGTATGTACGGTATCTCTGCCGAACTCCGAACTGCACAGCTCCGCTGTGCACTGGATATCTCCGCAAATGGTTCATTTGGGAACAGATAGAAATATACAAATTTTTGCGTATACGATTTCGATAATTGATGATGCATTTATTTTTGAACGATAACGGTCGGATTCGCCTATCTTTTATTTCTAATCTTCTATTGATGATTCTTTTCCGTCTTATAGAAGATTACTCAAAAGCGATCATTATAAAGAAAATGAACTTCCTCACGGTTGAAATTGTGGAAGGGAAACGCAAAGATTCGCAATTACTATGGATTTCAGAAGAACGTTTCCTTTATTATCATAAAGATACCCGAGGCGATCGGAAAATATATTTATGCTACGAGAATAGAAATGGTTCTCAGTGCCCGGCTCGTTGAAATCTCGATTCAACTGGGCACGTGATAATGAATGCGTTACCGCATTCAAACCATTCAGATCACCAATCTATATACAATGATTTGAAAACAAGATCCAGCATAATCGAATCTTGTATACAAGCAGCAACTGCATTGGATGGACTGCACGTAACAGTTTCATCGCAACAAATTTTCACTCGAGAGCTTGCTAAGTGAGTGTGCTTTTTATTCTTCGTTCTTCGTATTGATATATGTGTGGGGCAGGGTGCGAGGATGGCGCACTGGAGCACTCGAAGTGTATTTGAAACAAAAGACTATAACTTCCGTGGTTTGTGTCTAACTGTATTAGATTTCTTCCCAAAGTTCATTTTTTTAAAAACTATCACTTCCGTGCAAACACATTTGAATCAGACATTCACTGTGACTGCATATATAGCAGAGCTATTTACAAATAGCTGGCTGTTTGGTAAGTTTTGATTTTGTGAATATCTTGCCATGCAATTTTATGTGGTATCCACGAATTTGGGACAAAAAATGTATGTAAATGATTGAAAAGGTGTCCCACATTCTTGGATACCACATGAATTTGCATGGCAAGATAGTCACAAAATCAAAACTTACCAAACAGCCAGCTATTTGTAAATAGCTCAGCTATATATGCAGCCACCGTGAATGTCTGATTTGAATAAATGGTCGATGGGGGGACATAACTCGATCTAGTGAAACCGAAATTGAAATCTGGAAGCTGATTCAAAGATATTAATTATTTTCCAACATTTCTTGACTTTAGAGCAATGAAAAATAACAAAAAACATAAAAAGTATAGTCTTTTGTTTCAGTTTACACTTCGTGTGCGCCACCTGTATTGTCTGTTGAATAACTAACTTTTTGAATCAATAGTTATCACTGTCTTTTCGATTTTCTCTTATTTTTCATAATCATTACAAAAGATCATCTTTTGAATGTAATAATTACGTACAAGTAAAAAACAGAAATGGTTGATAGTTCACCGCATGTAAATGTGAATTTGATGTATGCACTATAACGTATACTTTTGCGTTGTATTTATGCCATTTATAAACAAGATGCTTGTTTGTCCAAAATGGCGAATGGAAAATGGGTTTCTTTTTCAATCACTAATTTCGTCTGTTCGTTCGTCCATTCGTCTGTTCGTTCGTCCGTTCGTCCGTTTGTCTGTTCGTTCGTCTGTGTTTTTTGTCTGTGTCTAGCTGCTATTGCCCTCGCTATGGTTGTCCGTTCGTCCGTTCAGGCCCCGTGCCATGGTTGAGTGTTTGTTAGAGGTCTTTCTATATGTTTGTTTGTCCAAAATGTTTCTTTTTCAATCACAAATTTACATTATACTCTTCTTAAAATGAAGACGACCTCTCGGGGAATCAAGCCTAGTTTATAAGAAAATGGCACGTAATATACGACGCCATACGAAAAAGAAGTATCCCGCAGGGCCAAAAAACACAACTGAAATTAAGCAGGCATACGATGATGATGCAACAATGCAGGAATTTGGTCTCAACCTACGGAGGACTAACTACTTCTACGTCGATACAGTCGGAATCGAAGGATGTGAGTTCACCGTGTTTGCATCTTACGACATGATGGGCATGGTGAACGAACATATTCCACCCGAAGGACGCAGATACATGCTAGATGGCACCTTTGATGTCGTACCGATTCGCTACTTCTATCAGTTGCTTGTGATTGCAATTGAATACAAAAATGATGTAAGTGCTTCCACAATATATCTAAAAAAAATCGGATGAATGGACGGCCGAAGACTACTTTTTATGCAGCGCTGGGTTCCCGGGTGGACGCAATAGGTTTTGATGAAATTCTCTTTTCTTTGTTTCTTCAGTTGTTTCCATTATTTTTTTGTGCTAATGACAAACAAAGAGGCCAAATCATACGTAAACGTATTCAAATACATTGAAGAGAAGGTGTTCAAACTGCAGCCGGGACAATTTATGGCTGATTTTGAAACAGGCTTGAGAAAAGCTATCTCAACCTACTTTCCGGATACACCATTGTACGGCTGCTGGTATCACTACACTAGTAGTATTCGCCGTCGTCTGATGATGTTGCATATACATCGTGTAATTGCCGATGATCCTAAAGCTATGAGGATTTACCGTATGTTCTTGAGCTTGCCGCTTTTACCACGAGAGCGAATTCGTGATGGCTTTGAATTCATCAAACTCAAACCTCAACAGGGTGGTCTTCTGAAAACATATGAGGAATTTTTCAAGTACTTTGAAGGCTTCGGGCTTAAATTGGTATGTTCGCTCAAACATTGCTTCATTGATAAAATAAATATTTCGATTTAGATACCCATCAACATCGGGAACAATTAAGTTTTCACTTGTTTTTTATTCACGTTCTGAACCAATGTGGAAAATGTGTGCTTTTTTGTTTTGCTTCATCTTCATCGCTGTGTTGGAAACTTATCACGATCGAAAGATATAAGCTATGAATTTAAAAAAAAGAACTTGATTGAGTTTTGCCCTTTTCTTTCTTAGTTTCTTTTGCCATTGAGACACACAAAAAGTGAACGCTTCAAATATACTGCGTAGACTCCATGCGCACGCTATTTTCATACCATTTTCGCACTTATGCCAATTTTATTAGTTGAATACAGAGTAAATGGTATATTTATGACATATTTTGGCCGTGAAATCGCACACAAAGCGTACGCTAATCATCTGTCCTTAACTGTGTATGGCAAAGAAGCGCAAGGCGCACGCTTTGCGTGCAGTTTCACGCCAATCATATGCCATAAATATACCATTTACGTAAGCGTGAAAATGGCATAAAATTAGCGTGCGCATCTATAAAGCGTTCTTTTCTTATTAAGAAATTCCTTAACATTGTCCGTTTGAAATTCTCTCTTTATAGAATGAAACAAGCTCACTGTCTGTTGCGCATTTGCTCAATCGAACATCGTCACCGTTGGAGTCGTTAAACTCCATTCTGAACCGTTCAATTGCCAAAAGGACGCATTTTTTCCGATTTGTTGCACGCTTGAAATTTTTTGAAAGCAAAAAATCCAACGATATGTCAATTGCGGTGAACAGCAGTTTACCACAATCAAGTTCGGGCAATAAAAAATATCGGCACAACTTTACTTTACAGAACTTTTTGGAATATGAATATTTTTTTGATTTTGTTTTTGCTCTGGATTGCTTATGGTCACTACATTTCATTTCTAGGGTGCGATTTGCAATTTTATGATTTACCGTTATTTTTTGACAGGTGTGCATTTTCCAGTAAAGCATTGATCACTGATGCAAAGTTTTAGTACTTCATCAGAGCTATGTAGCGCACTGTACCAAAATGTACTAATCTGTACTAATTTGTACTAAATTATACTAAATTTGAAAAAATGGTTCTGGTGCATTTCCAGCGATTCCCAACAATTTTGGGAGGCAGTACACGTTCTAAATGGTACTAAACTGTGCTAAAATGTACTAAACAATAATAAACAACAGAAATAAAACTAACCATATTGATACAAACTGAATAAAAGTGGTTGTGGTAATATAAACGTAGAGAGAATCACATAGAACCTTCTGTATTGCTTG